AAAAAGAGTTCCAGCTTTGCTTTAATAATGCATTTGTTTCCTTGGTTAGTTTGACTAGAACATGCTCTTTCTCTCTTCTGCAGGCCAGATAATGCAGTACCAGGAGATGTGCTGGTCTTGACGAAACCCCTGGGCACGCAAGTTGCAGTCGCTGTGCACCAGTGGCTGGATATTGTAAGTGAGGAGCTGCTGAGGAGTGAGGTGGCAGTGAGCGGGGCAGTTAGCGTTCAGAGTTGCTTTTTAGTTTCGGTAAAGGCCTTAGATGAATTATTCATATTCTTATAAATGAAAATTTAATCCATCTAATGTTTGAAGGAGGTAAGGCCCAGCTTGAGGCATCAGATAGTGTGAATAAGAATTCTGGGAAGTGACATTCAAAATAATATAAATAGGGTTAGTTGTTGGAATATTAGTCCCAGGGTTTGGGGTTGTTGTGATATGCTACTGTTGTCTTTAAATTGATTAGTTAACTTAACATTTAGATGTGCCGGGCAGTGGTGGTACATGCCTTTAATCCCAGCACTCAGGAGGCAGAGCCAGGCGGATCTCTGTGAGTTCAAGGCCAGCCTGGTTCACAGAGCGAGATCCAGGAAAGGCACAAAGCTACACAGGGAAACTCTGTCTCGAGAAAAAAAACAACAAAAAAGAGCATTTAGATGTGTGATGTTCTTGTGGAGAATGAATAAAAGGATATTTTTCCTAAGCATTATCCCACAGAGCTGTCGTTCTTTTTTTTGCCATGACAGCTCCAATGACTAAGGTTTCCCTCTGCCCTCACATGTGGTGTGTTTAATTTCTGACACTACCATCTGAAACTACCAGGCTTGAGAAATAGTTGGGAAAGAATAATGCAGACTTATGTCACTTATCCATCATTTATCTTGGCTTGATATAGCCACTAAGAAATCTCAGAGCTCAGCCATCGAGTGCTCTTCCAGAGAACCTGGCTTCTCTTCTCAGCACTCACTTGTGACCAACAGCTGTTCCAGAAGGATCGATCCAGCACCCTCTTCTGGCCTCTGTGGCACTGCATGCGTGTGGTATGCAGACTTACGTGTAGGCAAAATGCCCATATACATAAAATACTAAAAAGTAAATTTTGCCAAATGGTGGCACACATCTTTATCCCAGCACTTGGGAGGCAGAGGCAGGGGGATCTCTGTGAGTTTGAAGCTAGCCTGGTCTACAGAGTGAGTTCCAGTATAGCCAGGGTGTCACAGAGAAACTCTGTCTTGAAAATAATAATAATAATAATAATAATAATAATAATAATAATAAAATTAAACCTCAAAAAAATTTTTTTTCATCTCAGAGGTGGCACATTCTTCACTTATTTTCCCTCTTTGCTCAGTGATGTGAACCCTCCTGGGAAGTTGCTGTGAAGATGGTCACAGAAGTGCTGTGCAGTGACTGTGTAGCCTGTACAGTCTTATGGGGGTGGGGGGTAGAAGGGTAAGGGTGTCAGGAATGGGGGAGCCAGGGCCTTCTCTCTCTTTCCACTTCTGCTTCCCACACCACTGCTTCATTATTTATTTTTAGTGACTACTCAGAATTTGAAAAGGCAGATATAATGTTTTGGATTTTGTTGTTGTTTTTTATAAAGACAGAGGTAACTGTCAAAGTTTAGAATCTGTAGTCTGAGGATACTGGTTTTTGACAGGCAGGGAATGACAGGTGCAGATATCAGAGTGGATGTTTCTTCTGAGAGAGATGGAAGTTGGTCCTAACGCCTAGCAGTGTGTGGGAGGTTATTGGATTTTGTGATACTGGGGACCAGACTCGGCCCCAGTATCACAAAATATGTGAATATGCTAGGCAGGCTCTACCCCAGCACCTTGGGTATTGTTGATAGTGTTCAAGACAGTTAAGTGAATGTGTGAATCATAGAGCAATTAGTGGTCTGTGATATCTTTGTGCCATGAACCTTACTTACATCATTGTGCTAAGTTCTTTGACAATCAGACAAAGGCCTTTTTGTCCCTTTGATAATACCTTATTTGCTTACCCAAGGCTATCCTCAGCATGGACAGTTAGAAATTCCACATGTTTGTATCAAGATAGCTTCACTGCAGGAGTCAGTTAAAGTAAAAAAAAAAAAAGGTATAACATAAAAAATGGAAGCCATTTACCTAATAGAGGAGATGGGAAAAAGAGCCAAGGCATGGGGAAAATTCAGTTCTTGTTACAGTGTTCAAGGTTTTGTGAATACTAGTCAAACGCTGCTGGAGCTGCATCCTCGGTCCTTAAAAACAATGTTAATAAAGGAATTTATACCTGGCCAAATAAGAGTGGGGTCCAGCTTTGTGTCCTGTTAGATTTACATATCCAGCATGCTGTGATATTTACTATGGAAATGTGGGATAAGCAGACAATAATAGCATGGTGGTAGTTCCATGAAAAATACTAATCACAGAGGAGCACAGAGTTAGAACATTTCTCTGCCTTTTCACACTAGATAAATAAAATTCCTAGAGACTAGTGTGTAGCTTAGTGGTACAGGCTATGCTGACCATGTGTGAGGCCCTGGGTTTGATCACCAGCAATATGTATACATACCAGACATACCCCGGTCCCAGGAGATGACTAAGCAAAGTGTTCCTTTTCTAAGTGTTTAGGAGTAAAGATGAATCACATTTTTGTTTTTCTCTCTCACCTATGTTCCTATGGCTAGCCTGAAAAGTGGAATAAAATCAAGCTAGTGGTCACCCAGGAAGATGTAGAGTTGGCATACCAGGAAGCGATGATGAACATGGCGCGGCTCAACAGGACAGGTATGGGGCAAAGGGCGTTCTGGTGAGGGGTGGAGAGAGAACGGAAGGAGACCCAGGACGGGGAAGAACTTGGCAGTGACCAAACACCAGCATCTTCTCTTGGTACCTGCTTTGGGTCCGTAGATTACTACTGGGAATATATGCAGATGGTGTTTAATTCATAATTTCAGTATGACAGCTCCCTAATACTTTTCAACTCTTGAATGTGGAAGTAGCATCGGGTTTTGAATCCTGTTGTGAGTCGAGGAGAACCTGTTCTCAGTAAAGTGTTAGATGTGACTTCTAGTAGATAATTTCTCATCATAATGTCCACATGGGCCTTCCTCCTCCTTCGAGCCAGTTGTCGGGGGGTGGGGGGCACTTTAAGAATCCCAGTAGGGCTCTGCACACATTTAATCCCAGCACTCAGGAGGCAGAAACAGATGGATCTCTGTGAGTTCAAGGCCAGCCTGGTCTACAGAATGAGTTCCAGGACTGCCAGGACCACACATAGAAACCCTGTCTCAAAAAACAAACAAAAACCCTACCACCAACAAAGCAGTAGGTGGGCTAGAGAGATGGCTCAGTGGTTAAGAGAGCCAACTGCTCTTGCAGAAGATCAGAGTTGAGTTCCTAGTACCCATCCTGGGTGATTGACCTCCAAGAGCACTTGGTGTCATGTGCACATTCACATATACATAATTTTAAAATAATGAATTATTTTTTAATTAAAAAAAACTGCAGTCAAAACAGTTTGCCCTTTCAATTGTGAAATGGACTCTTAATTACTTTTCTGTTGCTGTGGCAAAACAAACACCATGACCAAGGCAACTTATGGAAGAAAGGGTAATGGAGGTTTCAGGAGGGTAAGTCTCCTTCATGCCATGGCAGGGAGCAGGAAGCTATAGCAATATAAGAGCTAAGAGCTTACATCCTTATCCACAAGCAGGAGGCAGTGAGGGAGAGCTAACTGGGAATGGCATGGGCTTTTGAAACCTCAAAGTCTGTACCCTGTGACACTTCTCCTCCAACAAGGCCACACCTCCTAATCCTTCCCAAACATTTCCACCTACTGGTAACCAAATATTTGAATATATGAGCCCATGGTAGCCATTACTCATCCAGTCACTACACAGGCTTTAGTGCATGACTTTAAACTAGTTAAGATATAGTGGCTTGTTTGATTGAATGGGAGATGTAAGTCTTATTGTATAGGATTTTTATTCAGTTATATAAACCATCACAAAGCAGGTGCTGTACAAATGTCAAGTGCTGCTTTTTCTTTCATATATGCGTATGTATTAATATAGGTGGGTGCATACATGTGTACAAGTGTACATGCATGTGTGTATACGTGTGTGTATAGAGGCCAGAGGTCAACTTTGAGTACCCTTCACCTTGTATTTTGAGGCAGAATCTCACTGACCTGGAGCTCACCCATTAGGCTAGGCTGGCTGTCTAGCAAGCCCTAGGTGTCCACCTGTCTCCACCTCCCCAGCATGTGGCGCCAGGCACAGGTTTTTTTCTTGCGTTCTGGGGCTCCAATTTCATACCTTACTGACTGAGCTCTCTCCCTGGCCCTAGCTGTTGTTTTAATTGTAGTAAAATAGCTTCTTTGGCCATAGACGACACCCGTAAATAAGGGATATAGTAAAATTACCCTGGCTGAATACATTTTGCCTGCAGGCTTCAAAATATGTCAAGGAAAGGCTATTCTAAAACTTAACTGTTGATTACAAGAAAGACAAGCATTGAAAACTGAGTCTAGATGTACCATGGAGTGTCATTGTGTGGTTAACTGGTCATCAGAACTTTGTCATTCCAAGTGTTTGCATTTAGACTTGCTGGTCAGGTAACACAAAGATGTCCCCGCTACTCATCATGAGCCCTTTGAAACTGGATCTGAGTTTGTATGTGATAGCCAGGGCTTTATATGGCGTGTTGACAGCAGATCTCCTCTTGATCAAATTTCCATCCTTCTGATTTAGTGTCTCCACTCTATCTCCTGTGTACAGTGTACACTGTTGGACACCCCCCCCCCACACACACACACACACTTTGATCAAATTACAACTGGGATTCTAAGCAAATCACTTGTTACATTAACAGTTGTGAGAATAACCATAAGAGCTTAGCTGTTTTTCTGTGATAAGAAGGGTCAGCCATCACTGGGAAACTATAGCCTCCCAAAGACACATTGGATTATCAATTGTCTGGGTTTGTGTTTTTTGTTTGTTTGTTTCTTTTTTTTTGAGACAAAGTATCAAGTATCACTATAGCCTTGGCTAACCACTCAGTCCTAGAGTTCCTCCTGCCTCTGTCTCCTCAGTGCTAGGATTAAAGGTGCCCCTCCTTTCTCAGACTTTTAACAATGTGTCTCCGAAGATTTAACTTAAAATATAGGGGGAGGGGGCTTTTTTTTTAAACTTCCAATCAATTAAATGTTCAGGGTGAGATAAATCACTCATTTGCCTATGACCTTTTATTTTTGTTCTGTTTTTTGAGACAGTCTTATGTAGCCTGGGCTGGCCTCCACCACCCTTGAACTTTTAATCCTCCTGCCTCTGTCTCCTGAGTGCTGAAATACCAGGTATGTATCACCCTGCTGGTTCTGTGCAGTGCTAGGAATCAAAGCCTGTCTTATGCAGCCTGATTTGATGGAGGCATTTTCTTATTGGGGTTCCCTCCAGCTTGTACCAAGTGGATGTAATAGCAGCCAGCGTACCAAGGCAATCCTTGACATGGTTTAAGCATCTTTTCTTAAGTATGTCTTTATGTGTCGGGCAGTGGTGGTGCACACCTTTAATCCCAGCACTCGGGAGGCAGAGCAGGCGGATCACTGTGAGTTCGAGGCCAGCCTGGGCTACCAAGTGAGCTCCAGGAAAGGCGCAAAGCTACGCAGAGAAACCCTGTCTCGAAAATCCAAAAGAAAAAAAAAGTATGTCTTTATGTGTCTGTATGTGTGAACACATTTGCACAGTGCCCTTGAAGGACAGAAGAGGGCATCAGATCCCCCGGAGCTGCAGTTACAGGAGGTTGTGAAGCTCTTGCTGTGGGTGCTGGGATCTAAACGTGGGTTCTCTGGAAGAGCCACAAGCCCTCTGGCGTGCTGAGCTGTCTCTCCAGCCCCCACTTTAATCATCTTACACTGTTTTACTGGTGTTCACACCAGCTAAATAGTTTATAATTAAGCAGAGGCACTTCTCCTGGATCTTTTAAAAACGGTAAGCCATTGTTTCTAGAAAGCTTGTTCTTAGCTTTTTATGCACTGCCCCCCGCCCCCCACAAGCACCACTGTGCACCTGTGGGTGCCGTGGACGTAGGTAAAAGTCAGAGGACAGTCTCCTTGGTCCTCACCTTCCACCTTGGTTGAGACAGGTCTCTTGTTTGCTGTGGCATATCCCAGATCTGTGACCTTCTGAGAAATTCCCGTCCCTGCCTCGGTTCTCACCTTAGGGTGCAGAAATGCAGATGCTCCGTAGGCCCCGTGTTGGTTCTGGGGACCTGAATTCAGGGCCTTGTGTTTGCACGGCAAGTGCTTTCCCCACGGTACCATCCTCCAGCTACTGACGCCTTCCGACAGTCCCTGCTGGGTAGACATGCGCTGCGTTTGCCAGTAGAGCAGAGCTAAGAGCAGAGGCAAGAAAGACGGGCTCTTCAACAAATGGTGCTGGACTCAAAAACAATCTGGGCACTGACTTTATCTTTCATAAAATACAACTCTGTTTATTACAAGAATTCCCAAATCTTCTGCAGATAGATTTGCCCAAGCCAACTACTCAGGAGGCTGAGGGAAGAGGATCATTGGTCAAGACCTGCCTGGTTAAAAAGTTTATTGCTAACCTGGGCAGGGTGGTAAGGCTCTGTCTCAAAATTCCAGAAGGGGAAAAAAAGAGGATGGAATTATATGCTTCTAATAGAGCAGCTTTTTGATTTTGTTGTTGTTTGTTTGTTTGAATTTTCAATACAATATATAGTGTATGTATACGTGTGTGTGTGTGTGTGTGTTTGTTTTTGTTTTTTTGAGAAAGGGTTTCTCCGTGTAGCCCTTGCTGTCCTGGAACTCACTCTGTAAACCAGACTAGCTTTGAACTCACAGAGATCCCCCTGCCTCTGCCTCCTAAGTGTTGGGATTAAAGGTGTGCACCACCATGCCCGGCTCAACATAATATATTTTGATCATATTCTTTTCCCCTTCCTAGAAAAGTTTTAAAACTAATACTGATCAGTGGAGAAATCCCAGCGCCCATATTAAAGCCTCTTGTCTCTGTCTGATCCTTGTTTGGAACGTGTTTACTATTTTTTCTTAACCTTTGTGTTTTTGCTTTGGGGGATTTCTACTTATCGTACTACTATAATAATTATCTCATTAATGCAGATTGTTTTAGGAAATGCTTTTACACACAAAATATTTTATTTAGCTCTTCACATGTGGAGGAAACAGTTTACCGTGTAAAGGGAAAGAGAACCTTACAATCCTGACGGTTCTTACAAATGATTGATATTGAGTCTCCCTACACAGCACCTACTAAAGCACTTGAATTTGAATTACGTGTTACTTGAAAGATCCAATTAAACTAAATTTTAGTATATATCATATATAGTTGTACATGATTGCATGCTTATGTATCAAAATGCTTTGAAATGTATTAGTATTGAAATAGAAATGTAAAGATTGCTGTGGAATGTGTCTATTATATTTTCCTTATGTGTTTCATTTGTTTAGAGCATAAAATACCTTTTTTTAAAAAATTGTTTAAACTGAATAAGGCTAAATGAATACTGTAACTGTGAAAATATCTTTTAAGTCTTTGTCATGTTTTTCTTTAAAAAACAAAACAAAACTAAAAAACAGCTATTGCAAATTATGTCATTCCTGATTAACCAGAACTTTGTGGTTATTATTAAGTCAATTTTATGCTTCCTTAAAAACAACAGCAAAAAAAACCACAAAAGTGCAGAAGAAAATTGTGAATGGTTGTCCATCCCAAAACAGCTTCAGTTTGCATTTTTAAGTATTCCTCCATGGCTTTTAAATATTTCCCTTCAGCTTACTGTTGTTGCCTTATTGGTTATTACAATGCACGTGGACCTAGTGGCTGCTCTTACTCCTTTTGCATTACTGATTATTTATCCATGTACCTATCCATATACAAGTGGCACACAGAATTTTGAATGACCAAATAATGTTCTACTAGAAAGAGAGTCTACCTTTAACAATACATTTGAAAATTAAACTTGTCATAGTTTTACTTAGAAACTAGGCCTGTGCAGCTGCAGTCACCCTGAGATCTGGCAGGAGAGCAGAGCCAAACCAGCAGCGGGGAGGGCTTTGGGCAAACAGTACTGGACCAAGTGCACATCCATGTGCAGAACCAAAGGGAAGACCGTTGTCTTTCATAGAAAGTAACTCAGAATAGCTGTAGGCCTCCAGGAGCACAGCACAGAAGATACAACAGTTAGATGGACAGAAGTTTGGTACTACCGAGAGAAGAAGATGGATGTTCACTGTAATTAAGATAAAACTGTTCTATACACAGCAGCTAAGGTGATGAAAGACATTTGGGAAATAGCTCAGTTGAAAAAGAACTTACCCACAGTCATGAGTTCTTGGGTTCAAGTCCCTGAACCCACATAAGAAACTGGCTATGGTGATATACCCTTGAAATCCCAGTGCTGGGAGGCAGAGGCAGGTGCGTCCCTGGGGCTTGCCACCAGCCAGTCTATTATAACCAGTGAGCCTCGGGTCTCAGTGTCCCACAACCTAACATGAAGGACTAGAGAGATGGTTCAGTGGTAAAATTCACGGAGGACCTGGGTTCAAGTCCCAGCACCCACATGGCCACTCAAAGCCATCTGTAACTCCAGTTCCAGAGCGTTGCTTGCCCTCTTCAGGCCTCCATGGGCACCAGGCACACAAGTGCAGCCTAAGTGCCCATCCACATAAAATAAAAAATATTTTTAAAAATCAAAAAGTAGGATGGGTGGTACCTGAGGAACAACACCTGCAGTTGCTTCTGGCCTCCACATGTACCACATACATGCACACATACACCATATACATGTACACACAGAAGAAAAGGCAAGGCACAGAGAAAATCTTCACAAAACACATTGCTGATAGTGATCTGATGTCCAAAATTTATGACAAATTCTTAAAACTCAAAAATAAGAAAACAAAATCGAAAGCTCTGAACAGACAGGAAAGGTGTATTGGCAATAAGACACCCAGAGATGCTCGGGGTTCTGTGTCCTGAGAGAATCACACATTAAAACAGTGAGGTGCTCCTCACACGTGTCAGAATGTCAAACTGCAGGCCGCGACAACACCAAACGCTGACAAGAACAGGGAGCAACAGGAACGCTTGTTCATTCCTGGTGCTGCAAAAGGCACATGCACTTTCTAGCAGTTAGGCCTCTTGGTACAGAACTAGTGTTATTGCTAACCATATGACCTAACGGGTGTGGTGTGCCTAACTGTTTACCCCAAAGCAATCGTCACACAGGAATCTGCATGGATTGTTGATAGTGCCTTTGCCCCTACCTGCCGAGCTTAGAAACAGCCAAGATCAGTGGGTGAACAGACAACAGCACATCCAGGAGTGAAATATTACTATCAGTTCTTCAAGGGGGGTTGCCCGTCAATGAAAGCCTGGGGAAGCCGCCTGCAGATTGCTAAATGAAATGGAAGAAGCCAGTCATGACCCTCCTGAAAAGGCAGACCATGGAGACAGTAAAGAGATGAGTGGCTGCCAGGGCAGAGAAGGGAGGAAGAGCTAGGAAAAGAGGCCCGCGAGGCCAGAGCAGTGGAGCTATTTCCCATGTGCATGTTGTTACACATTTAGGAACACACGGTGAGTCCTCATATAAACCATGTGTCCTAGCTGACTGTAAAATACAAGTTTGACTCATCAAATGCACTAAGGCAAAGTGTTCCCGTAGGCCATGTGGGAACCCTGGACGACATTTTGTTCAGTTTTTGTTTAAACATGCTCAGTTGATTCTTCTTCCCTAATGCTGCTCTGAATAAGAAAACCTGAAGGTCTGGTGTGGCACAGGCCTGTAATCCCAGCACTTGGGAGGTGAGGTGGGAGGAGTAGGAGCTTGAGGCCAGCCTGGATCACATATGGACCCCATCTCAAAGCTTTAAGAAGTAAAAGTCATTCCGTTCTCGGGAAACTCGAGTAAGAGTATTTAAGTCGGGCACTCTTTAAATGTGTTAGTAGACTGTGGGTTTGTTTTGACGGGTTTCCTCTCGACAGCTTTTTTATTTACTAGGAAGTTGGCCTCGATGGACCTGCTGCTGGGTTCCATGTGGCTGAGTGGTTTCAGCTGCACTGAGAACCCAGTCCAGCGCTTAACCCTGGTCTCTGTTGACTTTGTAACGCTGCTTTGTGCCGTCTCTCCTTAGAGAGGCTTTGGGTGGGGAAAGGTGAGTTGTTCTCAAGTCCTCCTCTGCCTCTCCCAGCTGCAGGCCTTATGCACACGTTCAACGCTCACGCAGCCACTGACATCACAGGCTTCGGGATTCTGGGCCATGCGCAGAACCTGGCCAAGCAACAGAGGAACGAGGTGTCGTTTGTGATTCACAACCTTCCTGTGCTGGCCAAGATGGCAGCTGTGAGCAAAGCCTGTGGAAACATGTTCGGCCTTATGCATGGGACCTGCCCGGAGACATCAGGTACAAGGATCCTGTTCCCTGGTCAAGCTAAGAAAGCCCTGGGCACCAGTGAGTCCCCACTTGGTATGAGGTCAGGCATGGCAGCCGTGCCCCTCCTGCTGTGGGTTCCCAGTGCCCTCCAGTGGGACTGAGATGCTGTTTTGAGTTGAATGGGGCTGTGTTCTCCTTTTATACAGTGGTGTGGAAGATGGACGCTCAGGAAAGATCACACAGCACATTGACTGGAAACTTAATCCTTGAACTCTGACAACCATAGATAAGATTAAACAGGCTGG